TAAGGTCTTTGCTCTCCCTGGATGGCCTGCCGATAGTTTGTCATGGTGTTCTTTTAGGATCCTCAGCCGAAGATCATTGTCCTCTGGTACATATAATACGCCTCGATAAAGTAGCCGACCGTTGTTGTCTTCCGTGCATTCGGCAAGCGAAATTTTATTCGAGTGGCGAACGCCGTTCCGAAGCATAGCGAGGATCTTATTTGGGAAACTATCAACTTGGTAAGCTTTTGAAAATAACTCCTCTACAGTAGACGCTCCTTCAGCGGATTCATTTGACAAAGAACCCGCGAACAAACTTAGCTTGGTATCCAAATTTTTTCGCTTCAAAATCACTTGACTCTGATGCGTCAACCGTTCATCCCCCTCTTTAGGTAGGTCACCTGACCTTCTAGTCAATGCATCTGGTTTCGCTCCTTGTTTTCCTGGTCGAAATTGTATAACAAAATCGAAGCGTGAAAGGAATTCGGACCAACGGGCTTGTCGACGATTTAACAATTTTGTTGTCATAAAATATTCAAGATTCCTATGGTCGCTAAAAACTTCAATTGGGAATTGAGCTCCCTCTAGGTGATGTCGCCATTCTTCAAAGCATCGTATGATTGCTAAAAGTTCTTTATCATAGATTTCATAGTTGCATTCTGCAGGAGAATGTTTTTTGGAGAAGAAAGCGACTGGATGTAGGATTCCTTCATCATCACGTTGAGATAGGATTCCTGCTGAAACATAATCAGATGCATCGGTTTCTATCACAATTCTCCGATCCGGATCAAAATGAACTAGTGTCGGTGCCGTTGTAAACATCTTTTTTAAAGTTTGAAATGCTTCCTCCCTATCATCCGTCCATTCGAATTTAACGTTTTTCTTTGTCAAGGCTGTAAGTGGAGCAACAATTTTCGAATATCCGAGAATGAATCGTCGATAGAAACTTGCAAATCCTAGAAATACTTGAACATCATGAAGGCTCATCGGTGTAGACCATTCCAAAACATCAATAACTTTCTTTGGGTCCATTCTATTTCCATTCGGGGTAAGGATTAAGCCAAGATATTTCGTCTCTTGAACCATAAATTCACATTTTTCAGGTCTAAAGTGAACATGATTCTCATCAAGTACCTTTAAAACCTTTCGAAGGTGTTCTTTATGTTCTGATAGAGTCTCGGAGTAGATAAGGATATCGTCTAAGTATGCCGTTACGAATTGATCGAGATAGGGACGTAAGATATCATTGATCCAATGTTGAAATGTAGCAGGGGCATTAGCTAATCCAAACGGCATTACTGTATATTCGAAATGTCCATATCGAGTCCGGAATGCCGTTTTCCATTCATCCCCCTCCGCTATTCTGATCTGATTATATCCCCAACGTAAATCCAATTTGGTATAGTATTGTGCTCTTGACAACTTGGCTAGGGTTTCCTTTAACAATGGTAACGGATATCGATTTTTGATTGTAATTGCATTTAGTCCTCGATAATCGACACAAAGTCGAAGGGTTCCATCAATTTTCTTCACAAACAGTATAGGTGCTCCCGCTGGTGATTCACTAGCCCGAATGAATCCTTTAGGTAAATTTTCATCAAGATATTCCCGTAGTGCTTTCAACTCGATTTGAGACAGTCCATATATGGGTCCATATGGTGGTCGTTTGCCTTCTTCTAATACTATTTCGATATCATGAGATGGCCGATGTGGTGGAAGAATTGAAGCGTCATATTCTTCGAACATATGGAGACGATGGTGAAACTCCTTCGGTACTAGCTCTTCAATGTTGATAGTAGATTTTTCAGTTGCTGAAACGATAATTGTATGGTGTTCCGGTAAAGGAATCGAAATGCCATGAACAATAACCGCAGTTCCACTAAGTGAACAGTATTGACAACAGTTCCGAGAGTCAAAAATAAGTAGATTTTCTTTTGGTCGAATTGTAACACCATGACGTCGCATCCAAGGTATCCCCATTACGATTGGATAGTGTCCTAACTTCGTCACAAAACATGGCGCAATTTCCCGATGATCATGAATGTCTAGCGAGACATCGACAATATGGGTAATTTTTCCTGATTTGATAGGTCTTCCGTCTATAACGTCTACATGGCGAGGTATTTTAAGGGGGGTCATTGTAAGATTGTTGTGGCGTGCAAAAGATTCGTCAATGAAAGCGTATCCTGATGCTCCGGTATCAATAAGAGCGTAGGTGGGGATGAAAGAATTTTTATTCTGTGAAATCGAACAAGTTACTACAAGTTGGTTTCCATCCATTTCCTCCTCTGATACCGAAAAACCAGAAATACACATCCTAGAAAAATCCTTAAACGGTCCCTGAGCTAAGCCACTTAGTGCAGGGACAAATCTTTTGCCGACTCATTATCGCTTCCATCATTTTCCTCCACCGTCAATGCTGCTCCCCTCATCACAGGTCTTCTTGGTTGATTTCCAGTTGCCCTCGCTTGGGGGCAATCCCTAACCATATGTCCAACACCTCCGCAATAAAAACATCGGCCCTCAACTAAGCGGGCATTTCTTTCGGCAGGGGAGGGGCGACGCCGTCCTCCAGACAGATCCATTGGTACATCACCTCCCGGGCGGGACGAGGGATGACTTTCCGTAGCAGGTACATTAGCGATTGGGGCGGTAGCACGGGGAGCAGGAACAGGATTTGCTGGTGGGGGACGAGGGGTCGGGGTAGTAGTAACATTCCAAAGCTTTTTACTTCCTCGTTTAGCTTCCGCCGCACGACGACGATTATCCAACCGTTGTAAAAGTGTCGCACAAGCATCTACCGTTGCAGGAGTGTCATGGTGTATCATTGATTCATCGAGTTCCCCATTAATACCTTCCATCAAAGCCTCAATCCGAGAGGCTTCATCCATACCCGACTCAGCAGCATATCGTTGAAACTCGGCGAAATAGTCGGCGAACGTTCGATTTCGTTGACGGATGTTCCGGAGGTTCCTCCTAGCCGTGCGCATCCGATCGGGGTCCCCAAAAGCAGTATCCAAAATCTCATAAAACCGTATCATTGAAGGCAAGGTAATACCTCCTTCCCCGACATACTGTAAAAACTGATTGGCAGCAACGCCTTCCAATCTGCTGAATGCATAGGATAATTTAGACTGTAGGGTGGGATAGCGATCAGCATTTCCCAATAGCTTGATTTTCATTTGTTGCTTGAATAGGTGTAGTCTTTCTCGATCACGATCTCCCCTGAACACCTCAGGATCCGGAAGCTTCTCTGACCGATAGGTAGTATCTGTAGCGAGTGGTACTGGGGGTGCAGGTGGAGCATTGTCCTCGACGGGTGCTCCCTGAGGGGCAACACCTTGAACAGCAGTTTGTTGGGCTCGGGCAGCAGCAAGATCTCGTTCAAACATTCTTCTCGCCCTCTCAGCCTCTGCTTCTACCTCTTGTAAATCCGTTGCATATTGAGCAAGACCATGTTGACACTGTTGGAGAAGCGCATAGGCTTCAGTCCCAACAACTTCATCAACCTGTGGATGTGCTCGGAAAAGGGCTTGGAGGCTATTGCTGAGTTGTTGATAATCGATAGGTGCATGTTCCGACATTGTTAAACTATGGTGTTGTATTGGTTGGCGATAGAGGACGCAACCTACGTATAACGTGGGTCTATGGGCAAAGGACTATAATGCCAAGGAATACAACCGAAGCGAGTACGTAGTAGAAGGGATTCGTGACTATGGACTATAAGGTGGTTCAATCCTGATCCGAGATCCAAGATGAGCCCTATGACGTAGCGTAGAACAAAAGTAATATTCGTGGAATAAATACAGAAGAAGAAGAAGAAATTTATATTGCTTAGAAGCCGAAGCTTATCGCACACCTAACTACCCGACTACAACCTCCACCGACTAACCCGAAAGCAAAACAAAGTACAAAAACTAACTACCGCAGCTACAAGAACTACGTACATAAATAAAAGTAAACGACGCACGAAGAGGGCGCAAATAACAAGTGGTACAGGTAAGCAGAATCTAAGCGACAACAAAGAAACCTCCCCGTAGTAAGAATGAACCCCAAACTTCTCCGTCAACTACATAAGCGAGCACAATCCTAAACGTAGTGTTCAATCGAAACGATATCATTACCAACGTTCCCGGTGTCATATCTGTGGACAAACCTTAACAGGACTGGGAAACCACGCGCACGAAGGCAGGAGAGGCCAACCGCCGCAGCGTCAGGGTGGAAGCAAGGGGGGTGGTGTAAGAGTGGGTCCTCAGGCGTCTGGTTGTCAGGCAGCGAGGAGTTAAGGAGTGGTGACCGGTAGGTCAAGTAAGAATGGGTGGGGTCGTCGGTCCCTGGAGCAACGGCTAAAGACTGTGCCCGAGTCGTAATTGAAGTAGTGTCCTCTGGAGGGGACATGCAAAAAGGGTTGAGCCGAAGGCTCAGTATGTATGGGGGTCGCAATCGAAAGTGCCGACCGTGTTGTGTTGAGGGTGGTCTCGGAGACCGGTTGGGTTGGGGTGAGGGGAGCGGGCCGCCTCGGGTAAAAAGTGGGTGGCCTGGTTAAGGCCGATAAAGAGGGGTAAGGTCACGGGACCTCGGGTAAAAAATTTGACGATGGTTTCGCGACCGAAGGTCGCTAACTTCGCGGGCTGTCGAGTGCTTTGGCAGTAGGTTCTCGCTGACTAGAGATTACTGACAGTGTGCGTACCCGACGTATGGGATCACTCGTGCGATGAGCGAAAGTAAGGAGGGGGAACGACCGTCTGGCGGTGGCCGTCGTTTTGGCGAGGGGTGAACGGTGGACGCGACCCGTGAGGGCACCGAACGAACAAAGAATGGGGGGTGTCGAGCGAGGGAAGTTCAGGGACCGAAGCAATTCGAGAATCAGTATAACTCCATCTCGGGGGGGAAGAAATCCATCGCGAGCCAGAGGCGAGCGAATGAATGCAGAGGTTGCGTAAAGAAAGAAGAAAAGAGAGAAAACAAACAAAAGCACAAAACAACGCCCCCTTATATATCCAACCATAGTCCAATGATGACTAATACTTCCGCGTAACAGAAACTAAAAGAACATAACAGAAATCCTCATTACAAATCCTAATCCCACTACACAATACCTCCTTATCTCGTACCAATCTATTATCTAGCCGAAATACATAGTTGCTGTTACAGGTGAGAACGTTTGCGCCATAGGTAAGCATGGGTCTTATCACTAGGGTGGCGGCCTTTTGGCAGTTGCGGGAGGAGAGGCCTTTGCCTGCGGATGAGAAGCGTTGGATAAGGCCGAAGGCCGACCTTGCTGAGGCTAGTCTCCTTAGGAAGTGGGTGTTGGGGTTAAAAGAGGGGGAGAGCCAGAAGCCCACCCATCTGACTTGGTACCCGGGTTGGAATTCTTGTCCGTCTAGGAGGATTGGGGTGTGGCAGGTCGGGGATTTGTCTCTTGGTGTTCGCCAGTGCATTAACTCTGTTTTTGCTACTGAGAAGGAAACATTTTGAGGCGTGGCCAGGGCTGTTAGCGTTTGGTAGTGATTCTGAAGGATGGTAATGTTTTGCTGGTATGATGTTGAGCCGACTGTGATGGCGAAGTCGTCCACGTATGAGAGGGTGAGTCCAGGGGATGGGTCGTAGTTGTGGAGGAAATTGACGTAGATGACGAAGAGAAGGGGGGAGATGGGGGAACCTTGGGGCACCCCTACTTGAACTGGAGTGGGGATCTTCGGGGAGCCTTTAAACAGGAGGGTGATGTGCCTGTCGGAGAGGAAGGATAGGGTCCAGTTGATTATGTATAGGGGGACTGATTTGGCGGCGAGGAGGGGGGCAAGGGTTTGTTTAAGAACATGGTCGAAGCCCCCTTTGATGTGGAGGAAGAGGGTGGAGACTTTCAGCTTAGCTAGCTGCATTGCTTTCGTCTCATGTATTAGCGTAGTAACGGCGTCGGCTGTAGAGAGGCCGGCGATAGAACCGCATTGGTGGGGGTGGATAAGGCCTGTGGCGGTTGCGATCTTTGCAAGGCGAAGTGTGACGATCTTTTCCAGAATTTTGGAGAAGGTTTGAAGGAGGACGATAATTCTGTACGCCGCGGGGGAGGAGTAGTCGGACTTTCCTGGTTTTGCAAGTATAACACCGTTGGCTCTTTTGAGAGAGAGGGGGTGGTATCCATGCGCGAGGAGTGGGTTGAGGAGGGAGGTTATGATGAGGGGGTTTGCCTTATGGATTTTCTTCCAGACACTGTATGGGATTGTGTCTGGGCCTGATGCTGAGAGATTGGAGGTTGTTTTCAAGACGTTTTGGACTTCCTCAGGGGTTATGGGTGTCACGTCTTGGTAGTTGATGGGTGGTGGTGATGGTGTTTCTGTTCTAGGTGGGAAGAAGGCGTTGATTAGGTTCTTATTGAGGAGGGTGGGTGTGGGTGAGTTTGGGAGTGAGGGGACACGGTCTTCCATCTTTGATGCCATTTTCTTCAGTCTCCAGAGGTCCTGGGACCTGGCGTTGGAAACGAATGAGTTCCAGTGCTCTTGCTTTGCTTGTTTTATTGCATTGAAGTAGGCATTTTTGGCGGCTTTCATTTCGAAAGGGGGCGCTCTGCCTTTCCTGTATGCTCTGTGTACTGTGTGGAAGATGGTTCGGAGTTGGGTGAGGTTCCCTGTCCACCATGGTTTTGACCACTGGGAGATCGTTTTCATTGGCGTGTGTGACTTTATAAGGTCTGTAAGAGCGGTGAGGGATTTTTCAAACCAATCATCTACCATGGCGGGCATGGGGCATGGGGGGATTGTGGTTTGTTTGAGTTCGTCGGTGAGGGGGGGCCCGTTTGTTCGCTTCCAATTGGGGGTTCGATATGGGGTGAAGTCTGCTGACGGGAGTGACATTGAGATGGCGATGATTCGATGATCGGATCCTGACGTGTTTGATAGGGGGGTGCATTTCCTGACTAGAGCGTTGGCCTGGGGGTTGGCGAAAGCGAGGTCTATCACGCTATGCCTTTTATTGGGGTCAGGGGATAGTCTGGTGTGAATGCCTGGGGTATTTAGGAGTAGGAACCCAAAGCGGGTTGCTGTGTCGAAGTAGGGCTGTGAGAGGCGGAGTTCTCGCTGGGAGAGGGAGCGGAGAGGGTCGGCGGAGGGGGAGTGGATATTAAAATCTCCTAAGATTAGGCGTGGGTTATCGGATGTACTAAAGATACTTGGAGGGCTTAGCGACCGGGTGGCGTTGTCCAGTTGTCTATTATATAGACTGGTTATCGTAACAGTTAAGTGGGTATTTATGCTTGTTTTACAGAAGAGATTGACGGAAACGATATCTCCTCTGTGCGATGGAAGGGCAGCGAAGGAATTCTTATCAAGGATGTTGGTATTAAGGTAGATGCATGAGGATATTTTATCATCTGCTCTGACGGGTGAGGGGCAAAGGAGTGTAAAGGACGGCACTGGGGGGGGTTTCCCATTATGGAGGGGGGGTTCTTGAATTGCGATTATGTGGGCTTGGTGGGTTATTGGGATCGAAAAGAGTGTGAGGAGCACTTGGTTGCATCAGCAAGCTACCGGGTGTCTCCGGAGACTTCTGCTAGTCTCCGGAGACCGCTGCCAAGGCGCGTTCTCTCCTCACACCTCCCATGCATCCTCGTGTCTCGCTTACCCGCTTGAACCTCCGGAGGCGCCCTGTACTCTCTGGATGCTCTCCGGAGACGTCAATCAGGGGCTCCGCACGGCCCAACAAGCACTTGCCAGGGCTCACTGAGCCTTTCGAAAGCTATCACGTTCTTTTTTCATGGCGGCGCGCTTTCATTCAACGGGCCTAAAATGTTCCGCGAGCCTTCTTTTATTCTATTCTATACATGTATCTATCTACCGCACCCTATATATGAAACTCGTTCCATGTTTTTAAATCGATTCTAGTATTTACTAGCCATTGGCCTTTCTCTACTTGAAACAAATGGGCCATTCCCAAGATGCTTCGTATATTCACTACCCAAAACCTTTGTCGGGAGCGCCTCCCGACTCTCAGAAGGCCATGCGAGCCTTCCGGAAGGCCCTTGTCCCTAGCCTCCAGCAGTTCAACAAGGGCAAGTTGATATGTCTTCCTTGTAGTACTATCACGTAGCTGGAACATTGCCCGTACATTCCCCGGTAATCTCCCCTGAAAGGCACCCCACGGTTCTGTAGTGTCCATTCTTATCCACGCCCAGTCGTTTCGTATCGCCCGCTTCCTAAATAGTGCTTCACCTGTACACCTTATATTATGAATCTCGTGACTCTCTGGATTTTGAAAAACCGATACTGGGACCTGTAGGCATTTAAAACATCTCACGGGATATTCAAGAAGGCTCAATAAGCCCTCTTCACTCCGGCCTAGCCCTTCGCCGTATTCCGACACCGCTCTTGCCAGTACTGTTCTATTAAAGTTGATAGAATCCGCGATATCCGATAACCTAGTAGGGCTAGTATCTAATGCGGCCAACTTGGGTTTCGGAGAACCCTCCCCTTTGTTTTTCACCCTTTGCCGGTCGTCATTGTTGAAGATGTCTATCATGCATCGCAGACTCTCCCGATGGCTCCCGAAGCCTTCGTAATGTTCTGGAAGAGAAAGAACGACATCTTTCAGATTTAATACCCGTATTTCCATTGCCATACGCCTCGAGTGGAAATCGAGAATTTGAACGGTCGCGTCGACCTTGTTTGAGGCTGCGTAGGCCTTCTTTATTTGTTGTTTATGGGCGAGCTCGCTGACATCTGTTGAAAACATTGGTATATTCCCAAAGCGCTCCACATGATCTCTAAAGTGTGATAGTAGGTGCATCTTAATGAAATTGAAATGAGAACCCTTGCGAATCTCCTCCAGCTCCTCCAGGCCTCTTTCAAGGCTTACGGGGCCTTCTAGTGCCCTTGTCCGATCTTTCGCATCTTTCTTAGTGCGTTTATAGGCCCTAAATTCCAGAAACACATCCTTGTGTTTATGGAACTCTTCGAGGTATCCCTGTAGATATTCTAGCGTCTCCCTGGTGTGCGTTGTGTATTGTGCCATTAGATTGAAATCAATTAGAGCTCTTACACACTTCAACGCTCTCCCGAAATCCCTCTTCAACGCCGCTGGGGGTTTCCAAAGAGCCACGGCAAAGGCTCCTAACACTATCCGACCAAGATGTCGCATTTCTTTACCTTGCCATTGAGTGGTTGCGCGATATGACTTGTTAGGTACAGCGAGCCCTGGATAAGGCCCAACAGACGCCCAGGCTTGATCAAATTCCTCTAGCCGTTTGTGCTTCTTCAGAAACAATTGAACCCAACCCATCATATGTTTTAATAGTCCCAAATAAAGATTATGCAAGATATCCGGCTTGTGAAGGTCGTACACATTGACCCTCGGCAAGGCCCAGAAGGCATTGTACATAGTCTTAATGCACTTCGATACCAGGTACTCCACAGGTGTGTTATCGGAGGTATCCATCTTATACCTCTCGGCCATTTCCATATATCTCTCTTGAATCCGAAGCGCACCTTGTTGAAGGCCTCCAAGGCCTTTGAAATCAACTTCGCACCTTGGGCAGGCATGATTATTGATGTTTAGTAATGCGGCGTGCTCTGGATGATCAGCAATCCATGCGCATAGTATTGGATAACATAATCGCTCGAACCCATCCGCACATGGTATCAATTCCCCGCTCTGCCCAGGGCTCCGGAGGCCATCGAGAATATCTCCGAGGACCTTGTGAAGAGCCATCTGGCTCTGCCGACGCAGTTCATCTGCACGTGCCCCCACCCCTAACTTCGGTGGAACAGGTAGTAGTGCTAGTAATACCATCGCGTAATTTGAGGGCTTATTTCGGGTTTCCGACGTTATATTTCCAATGGTCAAATAAACAGGCCAAGCCTTTTTATCACCACTGAAATTTGTTAGGTGGGTGCCATCCGATGCGCAAATCACTGGTACGACCGTTGATCCCTCTGGCAGGGTATTCTTAATATCCATTAGCGAAGGCTCAGTAGGCATTTATGAGGGCTTTAAAAACCTGCATCTCCCACCACCAGTCCGCCGTGTGCATTTCCCCATACATCCGTTCTCCCATCTCATTATACTCCATCGTTGGAGCATACACCAAAGACTCCCTGAATGCACGCTGCCCCAAAAGGAATCGTACTATTGCCATAGGATCGCGGTAGTAGTAAGGGACCACCTCTCCACCTATTTCAACCCCTGAGTGCACCCAGCCCTCTGTCCCAAGACCGTCCCTAGAAGACATCTCATCAAGACAGCGTGCAAAGCCCCTACCAGTTGTGTAGGAGCCTTTTGGAAGGCTAGCGGAGCGAAAATAATCGTCTATTTGCCCTTGGGACACCCCAGACCGTAGGAACCAACGTGATAATTTGAATTCCTCTGCGGACTGTAGCGGGCTCCATGGGCTTCTGAGAAAGCTCTCTGTCACCTCGTTATATCCTGGTGTCGGGAAAAGGGCTTCACCTGCGCCCTCATATATCGTAGTGGCTAGGTTAAACAGTGGACGTCCAGAGTCTAAATCACAACTCGGTTCGTCGGATTCGGATTCGGATTCGTGACGCTCCGCCAAATCCCAGTCCTCATTGTGCTCTCCTAGGCCGCCGTGAAGGCTCCCCAAGGCTTCTTCGCGTGGCTGTGAGAGCTGTGTATTATACCATTCAGCTGCCTGTCCCGAATGCTCTTTCGCCAGATGTCGATCAAAACTTCCAGGGCTCGAGTAGGTTCGTATGCAAAATGGACAACGAGATCTCATTGTTGATATTAGACGTTGGTAAGGCTCCTCAGGCCTTTGGAACCGCTCATAGGGAATGCATCATGGGCCTCCTCCGACGCGAGCTCTTGGCACCAACGCCAAGAGCCAGCACTAAGCTCGTCTTCTATGTTGTACCAACACAATGATACCAACATAATGAGTGAGATATCATCTAATAGATGACGTAGCGAGGTTTGATGCACTATCATACATGTATATAAGCTCCATTGAACCTCCATACGGCTCCAGGAGCTTTCAAGAATCCTATCTAGGCCCACGAATCTACCTATAGTTGAATACAATACCAATCTGCCTTTCAAGATATCCATCCTCACCTACATATAAAATGGTTAGATCCCCTGTGTCTAATCTCTATCAGAATCATCATTGACATCTAGATACACAGCCACCACTACACCCTCGTGATTCATCCGCCGATTCAAATTGGGAAGCCCCATCAAGCCCTGAAGAAGGCCCGACCCCAACCTTCAAACAAAAACACCCTGTTAAACCTAACCAAAATCGTTTACTGGAAGCTGAATCAGGCGTTAACCAAAGTTGCGATAACGAAGAAGTCCTGCCAAGCCCTCCGAAAGAGCATTCAGACTTTGAAGTTTGCGCTACACCAGAGGAAACACCGTATACTAGGCATTCTTCCCCCGAGCTCGGTGTACCTTCTGGGGAGATCCTCAGAGCCACTATATCCAACCGCGATCGATTATCATCCCCCAAATCTCTTGACGCCCAGTTACAGGAAGATTCCACAGACGGGAGAGAGCAAGATTCTCCAGAGCCCAGACAGAATCCCTCGAAGGCTCCAGCACGCACAAAGAAGGCTTATCACGCCTCCAAGAAGCGTCGGCTTATATTCAAGGAAGGCACTCCAACACCTCGAGAAATGCCTCAAAGAGGAAGACAACCAGCGGCGTTCAAATGCACCACAATTGCAGAGGTGAGGCGGGTGCTGCAGCTTACTGGGAAGGACGCCCTCTACAAGGCTCTGCGCACCGACTTGGGGGACGAGATGATTAGGCTAGGGTGGGTTAACAAGATAACCTCTGGAGAAGGTTTATACAATCATTTAGTTACCTACCTAATCGACCACAGGGCTATCAACGCCTTGAAGCCTACGTTCGCACGGAAGGCTTCAGAGGACTCCAAGAAGATAGCAGCAGCCCTGAACTTTCTTATTGTTGATCGAACCCAGAAGTCCAGCAGAACACACAGCCGTGTAGAGCGCGCACTAGACAATATAGAGGCCCCAGAAGACCCTGCACAAGGCTCGCCTGAGGATCCTTGGAAGGAATTGGGAATCGCACCTAGACCTGCAATAACTATCCATGTTATTGACCCGGTGAAGACTCGAGCCTCAAGAAGCGCTGTCTACCGTCACTACGACTGGTTCGGTCCAGCTTCCCTACCCCCCTCACTTGCCGTCCTCCGGGATGTTAGCTTGCAAGAGTTAACAAAGGTTGCGATGAAGCGTGTGCCAAGGCCCCCCGTAGGCACCCCCGAGAGGGCCATCCGAGCCTTCTATGGAGCCATCAATAATCCTCCGCCCCGGGGCGCCAATGCGTATCCGCAAAACCCGGAATATTGCCGTATTGGTGACGCCGATGAGTTGGAGGCCTGGCTCAAAACCAGTGAGGCAAAACCATTGAGAGTTTGCGCGGTGCTCCATAGGCCCGCCGCACTGCTTAGGGGGGCTTCTCACAGGGCTCAAACCCCCCCTCCCGATGGGTGGGATGACTTGACACCGGATGATCTGATTCCGGCCGAACTTGAGGCGGACAAAGAAATCTTCCAATTCGCAGATCGAGTGAATAAGAAAGGTTTGCAATTTCCTATTCCCACTCAAGATAGAGATTTTCAAGTAATATTGGCCGTCCTCCACGAGCGTATTGAGAGGTTTCAAACGCTCGGGAGAAGGCTCAATAGGCATTATAGACGGCGCTTCCCTAATGGCATTACCTTTGATTCTTGCCATTACGATTGTACTCGCTTTTGGACTGTTGCTGACAGAAACCACCTGTTCAGAGCGAATAACGGCGTAGGGGGAGATAGGCATGATCAAGCCGAAGAGGACGAAGAGGACGAAGAAGACGAAGAGGAAGAGGAAGAGGAAGAGGAAGAGGAAGAAGACGATGACGACGATGAGGAACCGGACAATGAGGACGATGAGGACTATGTGGACGATCTAGCCTAGGTTAATCAAGGCCTATTATGGGGCTCGGAAGGCTCGTTGGGGGTATCAAAGCGCACAGAAGGCTCATTGGATGATTATCAAGTTGGGGGGGTATACCTAGCCTCTTAAGCTTATTTCTTTTTTTTTTTTTCGTTGGGTGTTGAAGCATGTTTTATTTTTCGAGAGGCAGTTGTTATCCTACTATAGATTAGCGTGATATGTTGGTAATTATATAGCTCGAATTCAGACTAGTGAGATTTTAGCGAGCCATTGAAAAGGCTTCTAAAGCCTTTAGCTCCGATCGGAATAGCTATATCAGGTTAGAGTATTCATCGCCAAGAGACAAAGCAAACCCAGTAATGGTGTTATATAGTAGAGGCCCCAAGGGCCTTCTTCAAGGCTTTCGAGATGCCTCTTCTGCTCCACTACCACCACAGCCAGCATGCCTCCCAGACCAAAATCACAGAAACGCCCAGTTCCCGATGGACTCAATCAGCGTGCCCCAATCTCGGCTTCTGTTAGTAAACGCTTACGGGGTGCAATGAGTGTTTCCAGTGCGGCCAGCTCTTTCAATTCTATAAACTCTATAGTTTCTGGATCGACAACAGAGGCGGACACAGATATTGGTAACGGCCCACCGAGCCTTGTAGAGAGCTTCAGTAGCTATCCCGAGGACCAAGCAGTGGAGGAATACTCCTCACGTGGGTGGGTCGGACTTGACGATCATCCAGAGGAAGATGACGCTGCTTTGGAGATCTATGAAGATGACTACGACTATGTGGATGACTATGAGGATGAGTATGAACCTGGAGATGAGAATCTCGCACCTCCAAACTCTCCACCACCAATACCAGCTCCCCGACCAGCACCAAGGCCCCTCTCTGAACGTAGGCCCTCTCCCCCACCATTACAAAGGCCCCCCCCCCCAGAACGAATACAATCTCAGGCTCCCCCACCATTACAAAGGCCCCCCCCCCCAGAACGAATACAATCTCAGGCTCCCCCACCATTACAAAGGCCCCCCCCCCCAGAGCGAATACCATCTCAGGCTCCCCCAGAACGAAGACATTTCCAGGCTCCCCCAAACCAGGGATCACGGCTCGGGAAAAGAGTGGCAGAGGCTCCTGTGGCCTCCGCCAGGGCTCTTGTGGCCTCCCGTAAGAGATCAAGTAGGCCAGTAGAAGAAGCAATTGCTTCTTCTTCTGTTCCGGTGAAAATAACGCAGGTATTTGCTCACTATACTCTCTGGTTTGTCTATACTGATCGTACAGGTATGGCAATCGTCATGCAGTTAATCCACCCAAACCGACGACGCAACGGGACCCCCGGAAGGCGTCGCAAGCCATCGAGAGACCTTCCTTTACATCTCCAAGTTCCTCGATTCGTTCGTCAAGCACCTTACGACCTGAGCGTGAGCTTGATAGTACACCACCGGCTTCGCATTCATATCGTACCCCTCCGGCTACCCAATATTGTGGTTCCCCTCTTGTGCATGAGACACCTGGGCCGGAGTCACTTGGCGGATCGGATTGCAAGTTGCCAGATTACAAGCCGATAGTTAAACAAGCCGGAGAGCTTCTTGGGCGTTATACACTGCTTGAGGAGCCTTGGCCACAACCTGACTCTCTTGTGGTTAATATTCGAAGATTTTGGGCAGAAGCAAACGATTATTTTAATACAAGCTTAAATCTGACCAAAAGTGCGAGAGGAGAGGTGAGTACTTTTAGAGCCTTCCATAAGGCTCAGAGAGCCCTTGCTTATACGACTAGGTTCAAATTGTATGTTCACGAGTGAGATCACACCTTGTTTATGCCATCAAAGACTATATGGCGAGGGGCTTGCTGTATGGGATGAAGGAGCTTCATACAGCGGATTCAAGAGCCACGAAAGTCAATTATCTACTCGAAAAGGACCGTTTCATTAGTGATCCTGAGAACTATTCGGTAAGCATTTCTTTTTTGGTTAGCCTTTGAGAAGGCTCTAACAGACTTCAGACAGGCCGCCGGCACTTCTGGGCTCCAGAAATCGTGGACGTGATATTTCTGAAGTATTACAAAGGCGACAAGATGCGTGGTGCAAAGGATCCTGATTTCGGCGATGGTATTTCTCCGGCATTCATATGCCTAGTCTGTACCGGAATCTGGTTTGTCCTCCGATGTTGGACGACTGGGAATTACATAGAAGGTTTGCACTTCAACCCGAGCCAGAATACGGATATCATGTGTAAGGCGTCTCCAGCCCTGTGAAAGGCTCCTGCTGACTTGTGAATGTCAAGTAATGTATTCTAGGATGATGGATACATGGAAGAAGAGAAGTGCACAGAACCAAATGGGCACTCTAGAAGTGATACGAGAAACGATTGGAGAGAAGGTCCGCATCCCAGCCCAGTTACACATGGTGCTGCACGTACTAATATTCTTACAATATAGATTGAGGAATTACGAGGGCCCAAAGAGGTGATATCAAAGGTTGGTCAGAAGGAAGACGATGAGGCGTTGGCAGCAGATATCGCGGCGTGGAGGGCTGCAAAGGCCCGTCGCAAGGCTCAGGGAGTTAGAGCTACAGTAGAGAATAGCGATGTGGACAACAATGCCGTGCCACTAGGGCTAGGTGAAAGGGTAGAGGGGCTCGGTGAAGGGGTAGACGTTACACCAACGGCTTCTGAAGCCTAGCCAAGGGCGTAGGAGGCATAAGCGGTAGGAGTTGCTATTTGGATATGGATGGAAAAATCATTGTATTTTCTTTACGGTCTATCAGAATTTTTGTATGCTATTAAAATATTATTTGTTTGGGTTGGGTTACTAAGTCCCATTGAGCCTTCTAAGCATCCCCTAGGAGGTTCTCCTGAGCCCTCAGGAGAGGGAACGGATGCTCAGGAGAGTGTAGGAGAGCTTGCTGAGCCCTCGGGAGGGTATGGGAGGGGTGGTGAGTTTTCTTAGTGGCTCAGGAGAGTGTGGGAGAGCTTGCGGAGTCCTCGGGAGGGTATGGGAGGGGTGGTGAGTTTTCTTAGTGGCTCAGGAGAGTGTGGGAGAGCTTGCTGAGCCCTCAGGAGGGTATGGGAGGGGTGAAGAGTTTTCTTAGTGGCTCAGGAGAGTGTGGGAGAGCTTGCGGAGTCCTCGGGAGGGTATGGGAGGGGGTGGTGAGTTTTCTTAGTGGCTCAGGAGAGTGTAGGAGAGCTTGCTGAGACCTCGGGAGGGTGCATGAGGCTAGAAGAATCTTTTGGTGACTCAGGAGAGCCTGGGACGGCTCGCTTAGATGTCAGGAGGGTGTGGGAGGGGTGACTAGTATTTTTAGCGGCTCAGGAGAGCCTGGGAGGGCTCGCTTAACTCTCAGGAGGGCGTAGGAGGGGGTGACTAGTATTTTTAATAGCTCAGGAGAGCCTAGGACGGCTCGCTTAGCTCTCGGGAGGGCGTGGGATGGGTGACTAGTATTTTTAGTGGCTCAGGAGACTATAGGAGGGCTCGCCACACCCTCAAGAGGGCGTGTGAGAGGGTGACTAGTTTTTTAAGGGCTCGGGAGAGTATAGGAGGCCTTCCTGAGCCCTTCGGAGGGTATAGGAGGAGGTCAACGGTTTTTCTATAAGCTTAGGATAGTGTCTCAGTAAATTCGTATACGTGATTATCTTACTATACAATCACTGCCGGTATGGCATAGTGCTAGCCATTGTTAGGGGATAGGAATCGTCCTCCAGATAGCATCGGAGACGTCACTCGTTCTCGGGATGGCCTCCTGAGCCTTTCAAAGGGCTGTATCTGCTCTCGTGAGACCCTCCCGATAGCGCCCAATGCGTTCGGGAGGGCCTCGCGATAGCGCCCAATGCGTTCGGGAGGGCCTCGCGATAGCGCACAATGCGTTCGGGAGGGCCTCCCGAGCCATTGTGATGTCTCTGGAGGACTAGTCGGGTGCGCTACCTTCTCCGGAGAATTAAGGTTTGACGGGTATCTCCGGAGATCTCCCATGTCTCCCGCTTCTCCCAACAAGTTGGTACAGTTTGCTGATGTGCTGTTTGCGCAATTGTGCTGTATGATGCGGAGGAATGATGGGTCTTTTATTGTGTCCGTCATATTCTATGACTGGGGTGCGAGGGGGGCGGGTATGGCGGGTGTGGAGACTGTGTTTGCATTGGGGTCACTGGGGGTGGCAGCATCTTCTGGTGTGATGTCCATAGCCGTAGAGGGTTCCGCAGGGGGGGGAGGCGGTGTAGTCTTGTTGGGGTCTTTGTCGGACCTATTCTTATTGATGATGGCTATGTATGTGGGGCATGACTTAGAGTCGGCGGCGTGGTTGCCACCGCAGTTTGCGCATTTTGCTGGCGAGACTGCACAGCATGAGGGAGTCGGCTTTTGAAATCCGGGGCAGGTGTAGATTACACACCGGTGGCCTCGCCGGTCATGGTCTTTGGTGCAGATTGGGCATGTCACGAAGAGTTCTCGACATCCTTTAAGGGAGTGGCCGAATTTCCAGCATCTCGTGCATTGTGTTGTGGGTGAGGCTGACCACATGGGTACGCAGCGGCGAGGTCTGGAGTATAGGCGGATTGAGTCGCCAATTGAGGCGGCGTCAGTGGAGGAGACTGTGACTACAACGGTGGATGTGGCTTTCGCATTTCGGGAGGCGTCGTCCTTGTTCAGGAAGCGTGTGGCGATGGGGGTGATTCCGGAGGCTAGACTGAAGACTTCTGGGAAGGTACTGTCTAGAGTTTCTTTGTCTGGGATTGCGAAGAGTGGTATGCTGTGTATGGCGATATCGACATCTGTCGGGGCCGGGCGGAAGGTGGAGTATGGGTTTTCTGGGGTGCCTATTTTGTGGTTCACGACAGCGGTCATGGCTTCAAACCAGTGGGTGTAGGTAGAAGATGGGACGGTAGGTGGGGGGAGGACCGTAATAGTTCCTCTCGCACTGATTGAGACTGTAAGGGCTGTGACAGGTGCGACTTGTTTGCTGCGGGCGAGGAGCCGGCCGAATTCCACGGATAGTTCAGCTGCTACTTGCTCGGCCGCGTTAACGGGGGTGGCAGATGTCCTGGTGGCAAAGAAGCGGCGTTGGGATGCTGGGAAGGTTGTAGTGTTTTTCGAAGTCTGGGGGGGGGCCTGTGTCTTGTTACGTCCTCGCTTTGGGGCAGTTTCCCACTGTTGAAGGTTCTCCTGGGCTGCCTGTAGATAGGATTTGGCGGGGGCGTGGGCGTTTTGGTGTTGGGGGGTATTCCTAGCGTCCTGTTTGGGGGCTGGGTTTGGGGGGGGGGCGGGCTGGCGGGTACGTTGGGGGGGAGGGGTTGCAGCAGGGGGGGTGACTAGGCGACCTTCGATTCGCTCGAGGCGGTTGGTAATTGTCGTAGTCAGGTTGGAGTGTTTGGTCATGGCTTCTTCGAAGTCGTCCTTGAGTCCTTCGATCTGTCTTTGTAGGATGGCGTTTTGATTAACCATGCCCAGTAGGAGGGTGAGAAAAAGGCGTTCAGCGTGTGTAGTAGACTCCGCGCTGAGCAGCTCGGCGGCTTGGGTGGTGAGGACGTTGGAGTTGTTTAGGCCAGTGAGGTCTTCATCCAGCTCTCCGAACCTCAGGTGGGAGAGGATGTTGACCATTTCAGGGGGGGGGCTTGGCATTGTGGTGAGGATTGAAGTCTAAGTGGTAAAGACTTTTAGGCCTGTGTAACGTGGTTGCAGCACAATTTTTGGTGGTTATTTTCAAAAAATAAATAAATAGCGGGTTAGGAGGTGTGTGAAAATTCAAACGTGTTGGCACGATAAGTATCAATTCCATAGAATGCTTGTAACTCGATCACTAGCGCGCCTCGATATGGAGCGCTTGTGGCTGTGCAAAAGCCACACCTAACACCATCAGCCTAGCGCCTCAACATCTCTTGACTTGCAATGAGCAACCGCCTTCCCCAACCTGCGCACCAATGGCAATAATTGAACGTGCCTTTTCCTACGGCGGTATCCTCATCAGAACCTTTCAGCATGTCGACTCTCCCCCCACAGTCCCACAGCCGGCGTCCTCGGGGGCGCCTTCACCAGCATGGATCTCGGAGCAGCTCCCACCCCCGAAACGGCCTCGAACCAGAAAGAAGCGACAAACCAACCCTCCACAGACCCCCGTTCAACTCGATTTATCGTCGCTACTTACACCTGACACCACCACATCAGAGAGCGGAAGTCTACGAGATGCTGGGCCAAATCCATCATCAGCGTTGAAAGACCTGCCACATTACATCTCTCTGCTCACGCCCGTGGAGCTTCGCGCTATTCAAACGCGTAATCGCCGAGGGAAACAATGGATCCCACCGGAGTCAACGGTACGGAAAGAGCTCGTGAAATTAGGGAGAGGAATTAACGGGGAGACTGCGCCCGTCCACGCGAATAGATCCAAGGCTGCAGAGGCCCCGGTTCGGTACATGCAGGAGACAGGGCGTGCCACGGATATCGACCGCTTTGCTGTTAGTGGGGTATTAGGAGTTCCTAGCATGCAAGAGGAATCAATGTTGGACAATCTTGATGAGCAGTTCGTTGCAAGTGACCACGGCGCGATGGATGGGAGAATTGAATGGCTGGCCCCGAGAAGTGTTCTAGATAAGGACAGTAACAATGGGAATGGGATTTCGAGAGGATCTGGAAGAGGAAATGAATATATCCACCCTTCTCCAGCTCATGGAGTAACGTTACCATCACCAATACCGGTATCAACAAAAGATGACCAGCAAGGGCTGTATCTACCTCCTCTGTCCACTCACGTGACAAATAGTGAATCTACCAATAATACTCGAAGCCTAGTGGTCAAATTGTCACTACCAAGTACAGCTCAGAAGTCTCGAGTTCTACCTGCAGAGCCCGCCCCCACGCCGGTCCAAGCCAGTTCTATGGGTTCCCTTCGAACACAGACAACGACTCCAAATTTCGCAGCGGACTCAGCTCCCTCCGCTCAGCGTGGGCGGGGTCGTGGCCGCCCCCGCAAAAGTCTACATGCCATTGATATAACCCAAGAAGCGCAATTAATAGCTGCACCGCAATCATTGGCTCCATCGTTATCACCTACTGCACCACAACCCCCGACTGCTCCCAGTCCCGTACTGACATATACCCCATCACAATCTCCCCAGAAGCGGAAAAGGACGTCTTTATCTCCTGATCTCACCGATACCACAAAGCCCCCAACTCTCCATTTCCACTCAGTGCCCGAACTCCTCTCCCACTTCACATCCACGGTCACCTCATCATCATCAGGTTTCATCCCCCGGCCCGTAAGAGTATGCTACACGCTCCCAAAATCCGCACTGTCAGCATACGTTCATGAACCCGGAGACAAACAATACAAAGCCTTTGGCGTAGATCTTGTCGCCCAAATCTCAGTAATTGACAAATTTCAATGGCGGATCGCACACTCTCAATGGAGTATATCCAATGGCAAGCATACCCCAGGTGCCAGGTGGGTTTGTAATCTGAGTGAAGAGGGTTCTCGAGACCGTGGTTCAAGGGGCGGTGCACCGTCGGGGGTTGGGGTGAGGTCGGGTGGTTTTGGTGGTAAGTCCAATATCACGCCGGTAATGCCAGAAACTAATGAGTCCTAGATCCACCCGCACCCAAAACTCGCTATCCATGTAGTGGTTCAATATCATTGCGCTTCAGTGCAAATAAAGACATAGTTTCTTTCAAATACTCGCACCACGCTGTACACGCACCGCCCAAAGAGGATGATGTGCAAACAAAGCGAGTAAGGCTATATCAAAACTCACCCGGCGGCACATGGGGAGCTAGTGTACCCCCAGCGCAGAGCTTTTCAAACACATACATTGGAGTTGATGGAGGAGGAGGAGGAGGGCATATATGGGGAGTCAATCCTGGCGGCGGTGGTAATACAAACTTTTGAATTCTTTTTTTTTTTTTTCGCTACTTCTACATCGGGAAACACGAACATTTAATTACTCATGCGCTACAGATTGTCTTTTTATTTCTTGATGTTACGGGTGCTTTTATGCGATTTGTAAATTTGGGTTTGGCATTTTTTCTTCTGGGTTAGCTATGGAGTTCTGAAAATTCAACTACCTGTAAATTTATTCTTTCTGTTCATGATTCTGCGAGTCTGAATTCATTATTTATATAGACTGGGGACTGCTTGATTTCAACTCTGTGTAATCATCTGAAGATCTCATTTGAGGCTTTCTTATATATATATTTGTTTCGCATTCGGAATCATCCTTTGTCATGCTAAAGTTTATCCGAGGTTTTTCTGGTTTTGATTGGCCAGCAAGTGCGCATTCGCCATTAAAACGGGTTCGTCATGTAAATTATTAACCATGTGCCTGTTCTGGCTCAGTAGACTTCACGGGGGTATGGTTCTTTCCTTGATTGCGAGAAGCAATCGACAAAATCAAGAAACTCAAGACAGCAGAAGCCTTTATTTGATACAGAGAATTGCATCTATATGCTTTATTTGGTGTGACGTTATCAGTTGTTGCACCATACCCCTGTGAAGGTGTCTATGTAGACCCTGTTCATGTGAAATTTGGATTCCGCTAGTTGTATGCAAATCCGGACACCTTAGGCTCAGGGGTTTCTCGGCTTGTATCAACTTCTTAAGCTTTCTCTCTCGGCACCGATTGGCAACTAAATGGCCGGCCATCTGTTTATGATAATTCTGGAGACTCTGAAAACACACGCGACCGGTACTATTTTCTTGCTTTTTGTCAGCAACATTTTCTATGATTTGTATCTTCATCCTCTAGCTCGATTCCCTGGCCCGGTAAGTGGTGATGATATCCGTCCGCGCCAAGAGAAGATACCTGACAACAATATAGATATGGGCCCGAGTAACAAGGCTCTGGTGGTTAAGAGTCGTCTTGAGTGGAAAGCAGCATCTCAAGAACTACGAGCTACATGAAAGATACGGTATGTATTCATTGTTTCCCCACCTCTTATATGTAGCTTCTCTCAGACATGACCTCTATAGGGCCTGTGGTGCGGATTACACCAAACATACTTAGCTTCTCCGATCACCGTGCAATCAAAGTTATCTACGGACGCGGTGCTGGCGAGTTTGCGAAGGGCGATGGGTTCGGTAATGGGTTTCTGCCAGGCGGAGATCCGCCAGTATTTTTTGCGAAGGATCCAGTGGTGCACTCACGCGTGAGGAAACGGATTGCTCACGCTGTTAGTTCCCAGTAATACCCACTACAACAATACAATGGCATTAACCAGACCTTTAAATACATGTAGTATTCGATGACATCTGTGGCTCAAATGGAGCCGTCAGTAAGCGCTTTAGTAGAGGAATTCAGTCGAAACATCGGCAGGTTTGCAGAACGCGGCGAGGAATTTGACTTGGTCGAGTGGGTTAATCATCTTACCTTCGATTTGATAAGTGAGCTCGGATATGGGAAGAAATTTGGATTCATGGAGACAGGAGGCGACGTTAACGGATATCAAGAATCAATGCATGTGAGTCAATCTACTCCAGCCAAATCTCGATATGTTCAATTCTAATATAACACCAGCATAATTCACCTATGTTTCCAATTTTAGCTGCATTTCCAACCCTCGCGGCGCTATTGGGAGTCGTAATAAAATATCTTCCTCCTCCTAAATCTGCAACTGGAATCGGTCATCTATTTGGGGTAAGTCCCCAATCCAACTTGAAAAAATTAGAAGTTATCTAATCGAGTTAAACTTCCACCAGCTAGCAAAAAAGATCATCGCTGATCGACGTGCTTCCACCAGTTCAAGTAATAAAAAAGATCTCCTCGGTGGTTTTCTTACTTCCAAGACTGAGGATGGCTCCCCAATATCCGAAAGTTCAGTCTTTGGTGAAGTCATGGGGACACTTATTGCTGGTGCAGACACCACCGCAGCATCAATTCAAGGGGCAAGCCTCTATCTTTTACAGAATCCTCCAGTTCTTCAGCGTCTCATAGGCGAACTTGATCAAACCAACCCAGTATCTTACGCAGATACGCTGCCTCTAGAGTATTTCAACGCTGTGTTAAAGGAGACTCTCCGACTATCGCCCTCTATCGGCGCAACATTCGGCCGGAAAGTTCCGGTGGGGGGAGCAGAAATATTACCTGGTATCTGGGTCCCAGGAGGCTTTGAAGTCGGAATCAATAATTGGGTTGTTGGGAGAGATAAGGCCTTATATGGAGATGATGCGATGGAGTTCAGACCCGAGCGATGGCTGGAAAAGGGCAATCGAGCTCGTTTTGCGGAGTTTGAATTTGGATTTGGAGGCGGGAATAGAGTGTAAGTTCATCGATCCTTTCTCTTACACTGGCGTCAAAGGTAGCAACTGATAGGTAGGTACTTAGGTGCATTGGCAAGAATGTTGCAATGATGGAGATTTGTAAAACGATTCCTGAATTATTTGGAAAATTCGAGCTGGAACTAATGAATCCGGAGAACCCATGGGTTGAAGAGTCGAGATTGTTCTTATATAAGAGTGGACTGAGAGTAAGGGCGAGAAGGCGGGTTCTTAAGGTTTAAGGCGAGCGAAATAATGATATCACCTCTCAACCGAGCAGGGAAAAAGAAAAGACGAAACTCCATTACTATATACACTAACACCAAGTCATAAAAATACAAAGACTCTTTGGATAAAAATCTCTTGATTTATGCATACATACTCATTTCAGTCCTCCACTCAAACTTTCCGTGGTCCTCTGTTTCTCCTTGGGAAACTTCCTAAACATATCTGCCAGCACGTCGATCGGCATTGCCAATAGTCCCAACACCGTCTCATACGGCGGTTTATTTGGCAGCCACGGATGTCCTCTTGTCGGCACAAACATCTTTGTCCTCGAGAATGACAACGCAAGTTCCTGGGATCTGCTTTTCCCGCCTAGGCCACTCTTCGGCTTCGTTTTGGCCAACGCCTCCTCCAGCATTGGAAGCTCGTCTTTTTCTTCGCTACGCATATGCTCCTCCAACTCCTCCATCATCTCCACCAACTCCGGCTTAAACTCTTTCGACTGTGGATACAGGCGCTGAAAAAGCTCCAGCCGTTCCTTGGTCTTTTTTCATAAGTAGCCCATCAGCATACAGCTTACCCCAGGAAAGACAACTATCTGACCTTCTGATGCGAATCTCTATCTTTATCTGCCACCTTCTTCCCGTGTGCGCCCAGATACTGCTCGTACGCCGGATACAAGACGATCTCCTCTCCAACAGCGTGTCTAGCCAGCTCCCATGTCAACTGATTCTGCCAACGAATCTTATTATCGTAATCTTTATCATCCAGGGCCATTATACGAGCATAGTAGTCCTGGATTTCGCGGTGATCATGTGTTATTGCAGCTGTGATGGTGGGGTCGTCCGGGAGACGTGCCAGGTGGCGGACCTGTGTAGTGGCTGGAGCCAAAGACCGCACAGATACATGCGAGAGCGCAGGACGGGATATGAGACGGAACATTTTTTTTTCCTTCAAATCGCGAATTGTATGAAGTGAGACGTGAGCAGTGATGGTATTGGAAGAGGAAGCTAATTGGCATGAAATTTGAAACTCGGGGTACTTATCGCACCGTGGATCCTGTGGACTGATCTTGGGCATCATGTCTCAACGTCATGACAGTGAGGGCCGCGGAGATGTGTGAGAAAAGCAATGTCGGTACACGGGTGCGCGTGTTCATCGGTTGGTTTACTGGGATGCCAAGATGTCTCACGGTAAGGTGGTTCCTTCGATTGGTTGTTTAATAGATCGTGTTGGCCACGCTCAGTTTTCAAATTTCGAGCTCAAATTCTAAGTTCTTGGCAGTGGGGAAGACCCACCTATACTTGGGTGAACGCGTGCAGTGTTCGTTCTCTCATTAAGATCTCTAGCGTACGAGATAAAACTCAAGACTCCAATGAACATTGATAGAGTTCAGTAGAGAACAGGTGGGTCCTCCCCACTGCCAAGAACTCAGAATTTGAGCGTGGCCAACACGATCTAATGCTTGTAGGGCTCGGTTGTTTGAAAAAAAAAACTCAGCATTAAATTCGGTATGCGGCAATGCACCTCCAACGAGTGGTTGGAATTGGGATCAATTGGAGGTGAGAAGATGAGCAGGGGCTAAACCTGGAGAACTTTCATATAAAAATATCACCTATCAAACAGTACATCACTACATGACTCGTACTCTATGTAGAGGTACATATGTCGGTAATTTACACACAGGCGTCTCTCGATCGATAATCATGTTGCATTCCTGTACAGTCGTTCACCGTCTCTTGACGAATACTGCCCCTTGACGAACAGGGATTCCAAGTATAGCAAGAAACAGTCAAGCAACAGCCAAGCTGCGAGATCTCCAGTCCTTTTAACTTCTATTGGCCCAAAGTCCCCTGTTCGTCAAGTGGCAGTATTCGTCAAGCGACGGTGAACGACTGTAGTGATAATTCCAAATAACCGGTGATATGCTAGAATCAGGGATCTAGGTTCAACGTTTCCTTTCCAATCCTAGAGTTGGTTCATCAGGATCTTAACCGTTTATATTTTCTTCAAGTGAACCTAAACGCATTAATAGATAAGTACGTACCTTGTAAACTTCGCAGTAGACATTTCTTGCATGTATTTCTAAATTACGCCACTGTGTACTACATTTACCGAGTGATTTACCATGATTGAAACCGGTAATTATATATAGCTACATAGCATAAACTTGACTCTTGTATTTCATAATATCTGCTTTTAATAACTATATGGTGCGCACACTCTTAAAGGTGACATGGTGGCATACGGATGTGGAACAATTGTGGCTGCAATGTGACTGCAAAGGCCAATCAGAAGGTCCATTTCTAGCCATCTTGGTGCCTCACTGCCACGGCTCAGGTAGTCTTGCTTTTTTGGGGCTATAAATGGGTATAATACTGTTCCACTTTGTTTACTCTTGGCGCTTTTTACATACAAAAATAGCCAATTTTAAGCTCTAATAACTTCATGACCATGATAGATATCAAAAATCTGTAATGATAGAACCAAACTTCATCACTCTCACTATACTACTATCATGCCACTTTTTTGATATCTTTTCTGGTGGTGAGGTTATCCCTTCGTCTGGCAAAAAATGCTGACCCCCCTAGAAAAAGCAAATTCTTCTGTGGCTTTACTAACAGATCTTGTTATCTCTCTTATCAAATAATAGATCTCCCATACAAATTTCATTCCTCTACTATAGAGTGGGCGCACCATACAAGCAACATAGATCACATGAATATAGTGTGTACGCTATCTCTTAAACTTTACATGTCCCATCTTGATTCCTAAATCCTTCTCACCGTAAACCTCAACCACCCGGCACCCTCACGCCCCTCGGCTTGCTTTGGTAGCTCTATCGGCGTAAACGTTCCGTCAACTTGCCATTCCCCACCAACTTCCTTATTCCAGAAATTATTGAAAGTCTCCATATCGTGTCTATACATTTTCCCTTCGAGCATGTGCACGCTGTGGTCAAACTCGCCCGGAATCGAACTGCCCCCTTGTCTCCCCACTACCATCGACCCCTTCTTGGGGCTGAGCATCCGAGCGATCCTCTTAGCCGCACGTACCTGATCTTCGAGCGTAAACAAGTGCAGGAAAGATCCAATATGAATAATGTCCATCTGCCCGTCGAGACTGTTCAGCGGGGATGCCTCCGATTCGTCGAATATGTCGGCTGGGGCAATGAATTTGGTCTCTATTTTGTCTTTATCCATGAAAAGATCATATCCCATGCCGATAAATTCGGCTTGTAGGTCTGAACCATAGATATTACCCGAAGGCGCACCGTCCGAGATAAGTTTCCTGATATCCTGCCCAAAGCAACATCCGAGATCGAGCAGCTTCTCGCCTGATTTGAGACGGGATACGATCTCATCATAGGCCGACGATTCTGAGATTGAAAAGTCGAGGAAACGGAAAGAACCGATGCATGGGTAAGGGAAGATTTTCAAAGCAGTATCGCGCTGTTGAGAATTATGCGGGGTTAGATTTCTAATACGAACTGGAATAAGGAGTATCTAAAACGTACCACAGATATAACATGAGGTATGATTTCATCATCTGCAAGATTGGTGTGCTTCTTGAACACCTCACGTGCGGTGGGTGGGAATGTGGAGGGCTCTGGGAGGTACCATAGAGAAGTGAGTACGGCGGGAGGATGTTCTTGTGCTTCAGTCATATTGGCTTCTGGCTTGTAATTGTGGTTTGATACTGATTTCGACACCAATGGTGATTCTTCTGTCTTTTTATAAGTTTTTTTTTGAAGATCAAGGGTTTCTTAATACCGGAGTAACTCCACAGACTCCGCAATCTCCGTTTCCAGTACGTGGCCTGGCGCCTTTCCGTCGTATCCGGATTAGAAAATGGATGTATTCTGGCTGCACAAGGGTTAAGGTTCTGACTCAATCACTCTAATAGAGATCAAAGCTTGTATGCGTGTATATAATTTATTCACGAATTCATAAATTATGTATCTATATCCAAGTCGCGTCGAGTCGTTTGAGTCATTTGACACGCGTACTCTAGTATGTGATGTATGCATGGTTACATGTAATTAAGTCGGGTGAGGCTCAAATAACCTTAAATGCCCCGCCACTACACTCCGCACTGAGGCTAATCGTTAGTGGCATTAAAAGCCAAGATCTGGGGTGAGCTCGATCCCAAACTTTTCTTGGCAGTCACGTGATTCCCACAAGGTTTCCTAAAGTTGTTGCGCCAACTTTGGCAGAAGGTCTTGGCACAGCAACCACAAAATACTAGGCTAGGTACGCGCGAGGCCAGATCTAGGGCAGGAATAATAAAGTTATCTATCCCTTAACCCGTCAGGCCGAATTGCAACGAGTTACTCAAACCCTTTAGGGTAATCGTGATATAAGTAGCGCTTGATTTCAAATTTTGTTGTAACCTGTCACGCATGATCTCAAGTCTCTAGGCGTTGATCTTATCACGATTACCCTAAAGGGTTTGAGTAACTCGTTGTTGGTCTGACGGTTTAAGGGATAGCATTACTAATGTACTAAACCTGCGCATGCGCAACGTCAACCAAACACCAATTGGCCCCCCATGCCACAGAGCAACAACAGCGGACTTATCGATCTTGAGCAATTCATTCACGCGAAGTTCCTTATTGGTCATGTCGGTTGCTGTCCATCTATAGCTACACACTTGACTCACTACGCAACGTCTAATTAAGTGATGGCTCTGGCTCTGGTCCTGCGCAGATTTGATTTAGAGAGCGATTACATGTCTCTCTCCAAGGCAATGAATTTAAAAAATCAAATATGCAACAAGGTATACCCGCCAGTTCATGATTATATGCAGTGGATAGGGCTTTTTCTCTGACCATTCATCCTTCGCGCGCACGACTCACAAATTGGTCAAAATAGAAATACATGTGAACATCACTTTACTTTGTCCACTGATATGAATCCTTTGACCCTTCAAGTTAGAAGAAGATAACCAAACCGCCGTGGCTTTTTTAAGTGAAACTAGGAGGGTCGTTACCCCGGCCACCGTGCGCGTGAACGATATCGCTGCGCGTGGCATGTGGAAGCTTGCAAGTCAGGTTGACGCTGAACTCGAGAAAATGCGCACTGCGCGTGTTTTACCATGGGCTTGTATCAGTATAAATTATTACACTTAGCACTTACCGGTCGCTCTTATATTTCCTCAACATACTCAGAATACAGAACTTCCCATGTCCACTACACTCTCTTCCACCGCAGTTACTCCTCTTTCACTCTATTACGGAAAAGACCTTCCAGCTCAGATGTCGGAAGTCCGCACCGAGTATTTACGAGACCTGAAGACAAAAGTTTCAGGTCTCCTAGGCACAATCGAACCTGAATCCCAAGAGAGCATTCAAAGGCTTAAAGAAGATGACGAGAATTTATACGCGAACTCGAGAACCAAAACAGGCGTTTATGTGTGCAGGTACGAAAATTGCGGTGTGGGTGGGATGAGCGAGAAAAGCTTCCAGTATGGACTATGAAGTAAATGTTTTGTGCGGCGACTAATACCTTTTTCCCAGGAAACATCAAGGGACTCATGAGCAAAAGCTCTGCCGCTGTCTCAACTGCGGTCAAACATTCCAGATTTTCCATACTTATGAAAAGCATCATAGAGAAACGCACAAGGATGAGGGGGATATGAACTTGGAGCTTGTGGACAAATAGTAGTATATATATATACTTACTCCTAGTTTGATGTTCTTGCGCAGGTTTTGTCATGATCGAGGGGATTTCTTTTTTGGGGTTGAGTATTGCAGGCAGAACAGGGGAAGATTCATGCGCAGGCACCAGGTTGATGTGGAGCGTTTGGTTTATATCTTTCAGAGAATACTAAGTTTATCCACTACGTACTTGTATACATGTCAAGTAACCTTGTGATACATGAGGTTACTATTAAACTGCAAAGCCAAGCCCGGCCGAGTAGGACGCTTTCATACCATCCATACGTCATGCACCAAGTGCCAGTAACCACCGCGAAATCTCTACTCCAATCTCTAAGCGGCAGTACGACCCGTCCTTCTCGCATGCAGGGATGCTAACCAATAACTGTCCCATTTAGCCCATCGCAAAAAAAAGAGAGAAGCTGTCAGTAACTCTGATAAGACACATCTCATCAAAACGCGATGAGATTATAACGCTCTAAGGGTCAGATTTCGACTTATACCTCTATACACCACTGTACGCTACTGTAACTTGATACGATGGAAACAGAAAAAAAAGCCCTTCTTGACTGATGTTTGAAATCAGCACCTATGCTCGGTCACACCCTAATATATGAGGCACAACTCTACGAGAACTTTATATATTCTAAATTATTAACTATGTACGAAGCGAGACTCCGACCGCGGGCACCAAGATAGACGAGATTGCTTAGTAGATACATGTAAGTAGGATATGTTGGCTAACAACTTATATAAGTACATGGACAATATGGACGCGCAGTAACCTATCAACGCGCATGAGCGGGGGATTGCTATAGAAATTCAATTTATGAACGATCATGTGGCAATAGATCAGAATTTATTCCATTTGAATAGTCCCAACGATGGATTCGGAGGACCCTAAGTGTTTACAGCATCTCATAACCTCACTATCTTTCTCTTGCATGGGGAAATAGGGTTCCGCGTAACACTGCCACGCGCACGACGATAATCGCTCCCGATACCCAATATTACCGTCATTATAACTGTAGATTATCCCTTGGACGGATGAAACTGTCAAATTCGCAGCTTGCCTTTTTGAGCTAATACTAGCCTAAGCAGGTATCTAACACTTATTTTTGATTCGCTCTAGGTCTATTATCAACCATTAAGAGCAACGGATATACCCAACTCAGTGCGTGCACGGTCCAGGCTGCGAATTTGACGATTTCATCCGTCTAAGGGATACTCAGTAATCGATCAAAACGGCACATGATTAACTGTGATTGGGCTTCAAAAGACCGCATCCAATATCGCATAGCAATATTGGTGGATCGAAGCAATAAACCTAGTGCAGGGACTTCGCGAATTCGGCCAATAGCTTCAAATCATTTGAGCGGTTAACTGCAGCATACATGCTCAGCTTCTTAAGTAAATTATGCTTGGTAACACTCAATTCGGGCACGTGAGGCACGCCGCTTTCCGGCGGATAGGCCCCTGCCTCTCTCGAGCTATACACCTATGCCTCGAGCTGTCTCGATGCTCCTCGAGACAGGTCTTCTCAATAGTTCTTGTCTGGCTCGATCCCCCGGATGTATATTTACACGAGTATCTCCGTTTTGGAAGCCTGAAGGGTATATCTTGTGTTGACTCGAGTCCACTCGAGTCGAGGAATATACCATGTATCGAGGTACATCGGCTTCATTGAAGGGTATATATACCTCGTGCTACCTCGAGGCATTTGATTCGAGGCGAGGCACGAAGTTCTTCGCCCTCGTGGACCACACTACTCGATCCATTGGCAATTTCTACAGAACGAAGCAGACCTTACTATTATAATTATAACCGGCACTTTCAAATGCAAAGGATTCTAGAAACACGTCAACGAAACATTTTTCTAAACTCCTCGTTGAACGAAAGCAAATCTTGCGCCATACTTGGAGATAAGCCTGCAGGCCTGACCAGTTGGCTCACATGCATGTTGAAGATATAATTGATTTCCCTGTTTATATATCTCAATTTGAGCTCGTATCATATATCGTGTAGTATATATAGTGCTGATTCGTGCAACTTACATATAGATTCAGGGCTGGCCAACCGTATTCTTTCCCTAATTAATCAATCTCCTGATAACCATATCAATCGACGCCTTCCTACCGGCCTATCAGAATATCATAGAAGACTGAGTAATTCGAAAGAGAGATCCGGTATTATTCGCACTCCATTCATTCTATCACGAACAGGCTCATCACTGAGTTTAGGCTACGAAGTACGCTGGCTCGTTGCTGGAGGCGTCTTGAGCTAGTTTCGAGGGCCGGAGGGGATGCCCGGCCTTGGACCATGGAACCCACCATGAATGAAAGATAAAACAAAGGGAAAAACCATGATTCTGGAATGGGTCATGAGCTAAAGTGCAGGTCCAGTCTCGTCACCAATATCACCTACACCCAGTGATATCGATGGGAAATTCATCGCAAACAAAGACTATAGTCTAAAGATGGCTGGTCTTAACATTGGCGCCGGCTATCGGTACTCAGTTTTCCTTGAATATACTGCTAGCTATATTCAATTAACGTCAACTTAATACCAATACTCTCATATTGTATCGACCAACTACAGCCATTTTTGTAACCACTCAAACATATTCAAAGCACTATCGTTTTTATAAAACATACCTTCCACCTTATACCAGAACATATATATATGGCTAGTATGACTAAGACCATCGCCGTGACAAGGCAATTATAGAGAGCCTTGTAAGTCTCTCGCAAAAAGTACAAGTAGATACATGTACTTATGGGACAGCCTTCAAGATACTAAGGACTTTAGTGTACTCAATCCCGAAGCACACAAAAGATGCACCCAACAAAAGTGTTAGCAGATAATGATTCGCGTTATGCTTGACAATAGAAAGCGTCCTTGAGACATTTTTCAGCGGCTGGCGGGTTATTAAACAGGTCTAATAATTTCTTTAGGAACTCAGCGTCATATAGATCTAATGTTATAGGAGTGGGTACATCCGACTAAGACCATGACGCCAGTCATCTACAGGAAGCTACATAGGCCATATATATGTATGCTCCAACGACCAAAGAGGCCACGATTCCGTATTGAAATGCATATTATCTCATGAACCTGGCCTAAACCACGCCTGATATTATCTTCCGATTCCTATAGCTAGAGCCAGAGGGCCATTACCCTTACGACTATCCCGAATTCTATATTAAGGCCAACTTTGGATCTATGAGGCCCGAGCTCTTGATCTAAGATCGAATTTGATGCATACATGTAGTGCCTATATACATCAACCACAAGAACCAAAATGGTATCATATATATGCAGTACATGCTCAATAATCATGATCACCTCAATTGAACAGTTCTATAATATCTCAATCATACATATAGCTAGACCAATTAGCTGTGGCCGCATTCATGATGAAACATGTTCGGAAGTACTTAAGTCAGTGCTACACAATACATCCCGACCGGACAGTAATCCGTCGCCGGTACCAAACTTCTCGGATCAACGATAAGAAATTTTCGGATTATTGGTAGGCTTTCAACCAGAAACACCCCTTACGCAACTTTGTGTCCTACAGTAGCCTTGCTTTATCTGTATTCGTTTCTTCTTGCGTGAATGGTTATTCCATGGCCATAATTGTAAGAATATGATTTGAAGCCATGATCAGATCTCACCAAATTTACGTATGCGTAGCACTGCTGTTGTGATCAAGTTAACTCCCGATCCCATCCTAGCACATATATATTTAAGTACGTAGGCATCCCCTTGAAGACGGCTCAAGCCTCGCTACGCATCATGCCAGCACACAAATGCAATAAGCTACCGAGGTACGTACTAGTACTGCCTTGATATATACATCTTTAAGGCCGGCGACATTGAATGTTTTTGACGCGGTGGTTTCACTAAACACATTTGCACTCTTCTTCCTATGTCCAGTCTAGGCCTAGGTTTCTGCAGCCTTCGAATCACGAAATCACTGGGATCTGTCAAAATGTACATGTATGTACATGGACCAGCTAGATGCAGGTATACTCGGATTTCTGCCGGATTATGGTATGGTGTACACGCATGTGTATGTAAATATGCGCATCGGTATACGCTAAGATAATATCATCAAGTAGATTTTCAAAATCAACACATCTAGCTTCCCCGGTCAAAAATACTAGTACATCATGTTATATACTATATGTATGTTATGTCGATCGGCACATCTTCACCGTGCGATACTAGATCGAATTATAGAGAGAGAAAAAGCAATCGAATTTTACTCAACCTCGAGCTCGTGGAACTTCCTCTAGATCGAGTACTCATTGTTATTCCGTTCCTACCTATGGTACATGAGAGATACATGTAGTACACCTTGAACTCGAGTTAGCTTCGAAAAGACGTTGGCCCGGTAAGCTAAGTAGACCATGCCAACACTATTATATAACAGGATTAGACTGATTATCTATGCTACTAACATACGATGACGACATGTCATCAGATAACTCCTATTCTCCAGAAAACTTCTGCGGAGATCCCTTGAAATGAACTCTCATCAAATACAATTAATTGGGGTTTCCATCTTCCACGAACCCCTCAGATAGCAACTTCAAATCAATCCAGAGCTAGAGAGCGAAATAGAATTAAGCATATCCTCCTCCTAATTATAATATGGTTGGTGAATTGACCACAACAACAACAACAAGCATATCCTCCTCTGATAGACAGAAAGTCCATACAAACAGCTGGAAAACGTTTGAAATCAGATCTGCCGACACTTCATCAAGCCTCAGCTAAAGCTAAATATCGAAAGTCCTTGCTGCCCTCTAGCTCTTGATCAAGGTCCTACATACCCGGAATTCCAACTGGAGTAGATTAAGGCTCCACACGAACTATGTCCATATATTCCGGCCATATTATCAACTGTCTGGTTTTCTGTGAGTCCGGTTGATCATTTTATAATATTTCATTACATGACTCACCTAGGTCTAGATCATCTGAAATTTATGATGCGTC